TTCTCAACTATGAAAACGAGTACCTATATATTTAAATTTATCATCCCTCATCTTCATTCCTTATTTGTAGTATTGCATGTGATAGATGTACTGAGTGATTCACGATAATTTCGGTACAGTTCAAAGTGTTGATTGTTTGCAGAACAGTCTTTTGTAAGATTACCATCATCAGAGAAATATACCCGTAGTTGTCGACGTTGTCTTATCATACTGAAGACATTCAAATGTATGTTGGAATCTGAAAGTGTAATAATTTATATGTACAAATAATAATTTCAACCCTCACAATTTTTGTGTCGTTGATAGTTGCGTTTTCGCAACCAGTTTCTTTCAGATATCCGATTATTTCTTCCGAAGATATCAATCATAACAGTACGGAGTTCAAATTTTCCTCATTCTCATATGACAGTCTTCTGATCCATGGATCACAACCTGCCGATGAATTACTACATGGATGATTACGAGCCATCATGATATACATCACAATGTATTCATGCAATTGCAGTGTAACAAACAAAGTGACTCACAACTAAGGAACGTGAAGCTGAAATATTACTTTCTCATGAAAATTCTGACGAACTTTTATTGATCTTCATCTCTTGTGTTTTCCATTTTACACTAAATGTGTGGTTCCACATAACAAACATATATTTCCATTGTACATCATGCATACCTTGACTTTCAACGTAACGATAATACGTAACAGCATATTACTCACGTTGGTATTCCATCAGTGTATTCGCAAACTCTTCCTAAATGAAAAACCATCTGCTATGCATTATCATCGAAACATAGGTATCGGGTCGACTGATACTCTTCTTGAACCAGAGGTCTCGGAAATGCTACCATGTAAAATGAAATGCATGGAGCTGTGTTAACTGAAACGGAAACGAGATTTATTCTTTTTCGGAAGGTCCATACAAGCTTCATGCTCACTGACTGATTTTCAGATATTTGTTTAAATGCGAGTTTTAAAGTAAATTATACAGATGGGGAGCCTCTAGTACTGTGCGCAACTAACCCCACTAGCATCCTCATCTTTTCTGAATAGAGTTTTCAATGCAACTATTGTAGCAAAGTTTTCCAGGTTGACATGTACTAAATATTATGCAAAGCTGTTTGAACAGTTAAACTGGAGAAAAAGTGATCCACATGGTTGATAACAACTTCAAGGATTTTCTGAAACACGCGGACGACTAGGAAATGTGTATTAAGCAGTAAAAGTGTTTCACAAGGACAGTGAAGACGAGTAGTTATCAAGTTCTATTGATACTAACTTCGGAAAGTATCATCAATAATGTGTTCTAGAATTTCAATCATAACGTTGAATGTTATCGAGAAAATTTGCCTACTATTGAATCTAGATGATGTAGTCGAATCACACATTCGAAATAAAACTGTGCTCAGACAACTATCATATGTTGTGTGAACTGAAACAAATACAAATCGATGTAGATAAACATAAGCGATATTACTAGAGCAAACAACACAATGATTCATGTAAGAAATTTCAATGAAAATGAAATCCAAAGTTGTAATAATGAGTGATGACAATCTAACGAACCTTGTTTTACAATTACAGTCAAGCAGTTATGATAATATAATGAGTTTCTCATCCACTACAAACAACAACAACAACAATTTTTTCATTATTTTCCAGTCTACAATTTCTGTCTAAACACTAGTGTTCTGGGAATTTCAACCAATCAGTGTTGCAATGTGAAAAATATCACGATTCCTATTGGTTCATTTTCCTATGTGTTTATCACATATGAAGCATAGAAAATGAAAATGTATATATGCAAACGATACTTCGGACAAATTATACACTAAAGTCTCTTAATAAGAATAATCATGCCAGGTAAGATTGTTGTTGGATGGCATCATCATCATCATCATCATCTATTCGCATTCTCCAGAACTCATTCATCACAGTTGTTATTAACATTAAATATTTATTCTCTCTGTTGAATTGAAGGTTGTGGTGGTGGTAGTGGAAACTGTAAATGCTGTTCTGGATGTGCATCGGGCAAAGGATGTGATTGTCCATCTGGTCAATGCCAATGTTCAGGGTGTACGTGTGGATGTTCGTGTCCTTCCAAATGCAAATAAGATGATATTTAGTCATTTCAAACTGTATTCAGATTCGTTAATTATTATTAATTGCACTAAATGTTGATAAATGAAAATAAAATATTAATATGATAACAATGTGCATTTTGAATGGTGATATTCATTTGGGATTTGATGTTGGAATAGTGAGACTTCCTTGTGACCAGTGTTGTCAGGCTGTGATGAAATGTGTGCAATACGTTATGATTAGGTTTTTCATGAACAAGCAATTGTTTCGAAATCGTTGACGGATGATTGCTGAGCTGATTTGATTAAGAATAATTTGTTTTCTCGTTGTTCATGAAATATTTCTCTTGATGTGAATTCACATTAAAACTTATTATTTGCTATCATTCCTGAAATGTGAAAGACTTCGAATCATTATTAACTTGTTCGTATAACTAGGGATTTCGCTTTATGTGAATTTCACCATCCACTTATATCGGGAGTAGTATTTATTGTCTTGCCTGAATATTATCAACTTTCGTACGTAGATTCTCTGAAGATCGACTGATACAATCTTAGTTCCTTATCACACAAACCTGAAACTCACCCGTCAAGTTACAAATCGTTCGATAACTAATTTAAACTATCTCTTGATATAAAAACACTGAAGTATGAAGTAAATTTTGATGCGAACACAATGATGAGCAAAGATTTAATTGAAAATCATGAACGCAGAGCAATTAGACAATCACTAAATACTTCGGAGAACTGGATAGTTTATGACAGAACGATTCAAAGCAAATACAATCTAGTTCTTGTAAGAGATGAGTATTTGTATTATTATGTGTGTGTAAGATTGATCATCCGAATTCATGTAATTAGCGTTGTTAACTGATAATTGATGGCAAGACCCGAATTACCGAAACCAAACCTTCAACAAACAGACGTCGAAATACAGAACAGCTGCTTTTCAATATGTATTGTTTTGATTTCAGCAAAACGAAACAAATACATGCAAAATATTTAACTCAAGAATGAATATTTTCAAATAACACGTAGTATATAAATGACTATTACTTAGGTATTTTGAAAGTCAGTTTACAATTTATTAAATTAAAATCTAACTATCAGTGTAGTTTTGTGAAGATTGGACGAAACGACCGTCCAGTTCATCCAGGTCTCCAATGGTAGTCTAACATTCGTCCATTTATGTTTTCAATCTAAAATCTAACTATCAACTTTACATATTGCCCGCAATGTTACACAGTCATTTGGATTTTAGAATCTATTCAGTTGTCTGACATGGATTTACATCATTTCACTGTTTTACGATTATCACCAATCAATATTGTGATGTATGTTATTTCGCCTATGTTTAAATTAGAATTGTAATGTTTTACATGAATTGTTCCTGTTATTGTTGTTATTTATGTGACATTTGGCTTTTTTTAATTCGTTTCCTTATCAATATTTTCCTATGAGTACAAGTTAGAATAGTTTGAATGTATATTTCAGAGAAAGATTTGTCCAGTCAGTTCATTGTATTAAACATGTTTACACCGATATCAACTACAATTTGTGGTTAGATTATTTAATTATAACAGATAAATCAAAAAGCCAATATTGTTAGATTTTAGTAGAAAGAGGCTGTTAACAGAATAGCTTGTATTATTTGGTGTTACGTTACTATCTATTCTAATGACTAATATCATAATTACCTCTCTATACTTAGACAATGTAAAGCAATGAACCTTAGACTTATTTGTGACAAATATTTTATTTTTTATAAGTTATCTATCAGTGAAATCAAGAGCCCGGTGGACAAAGCGCTGACGTTTGAATTTTACCATGTGCAACTATACTTAAATACAGGTTTCTTTATATGATGCTTCAAAAATAGAATGAAATTGACGTTATGCATTCATCCTGTACCCACTAAGCAATATACGTTTCTTAGAACAAGTCTATAATCCTCTTTAGTTCTGTTAAGTTATTAACTACTATCTAGCTCATATACATTCGTGATTAAACTCATATGTGCATAATTTACATGTTCTGTTGATCAACATTTTAAATTACTTCTTGATAAAACCTTCAAACTGGATCATGTTTAGTATTCACTTATTTGAATTATTCCAAAGTTTTACAGTCTAAAGTAAGTTTAATCACATGGCCGTTGGAATTCCATTACTTACAAGTGAACTTTTGAGATCAACATGATTGATGTGGGAATTCAGTAAAAATCCTTGCGAAACATTAGAGAAATATACAGTGTACTATAAAAACTTGTGATCATTTTGCCAACATCTTTATGAACACCTAATTATTCAAGAGGGTACTGTGATAGACCATATCTACGGTTCTTCATAAGATCCTTTTTAATATCTTGCAGAAAATACCTGAACTATAAACATTCATAACAATGAATGTTGACACAATATTTTGTTCATAGTTCATTCAATTTAACATAATTGATGTAATTGAAGTGTACATCTCTCTTTATTTATTATCACAGGTTTTATACACTATCAAATATGTGAATTAATTATGCATCTATACATTGAATCATTTAGATTCATACTTCCAGATATAAAGTTCATTCATTCACGTTATGTAATCGAAAATAAACTAAATTATAACACATAAAACTTCAACTACATCATGATAATCCTATATAATAAAGGTCTACAAAAAAATGATTCATTCAATATAAGAATTATTGTACAATTTCGTTAATCCAAAGGTTAAGAAAACCATATACCTAATGATCTATAACTCAAAGTACAATATTTTGAAAGAATAAACAAAAAGAAAGAAAAAGTACCATTTTTTTTTAAAAAAAACATTCAATTTATTATCAGTGTCGAATTGTATCGTTTATTATTACTGAACTTAAAGTATAATTTATTACAATTATTACTCAATTCATTGTATTAAGTTTATTACATATACTTTTCTTGTGATGGTTTATATGGTCCCATTTTTTTCACTGCAGTCTTGTGAACACTACCCAATAAATAAGGATTATAACGATAATTCTGAAAAGATAATAATAATAATAAAATACAAAAAAAAATAATAACCATATGAAAGAAACTTTTGATACAAGTTGAAAATGATAACTGAAGTTATAATATCTATCATCTGTACATTACAACTACACAACGAAGAAACCCGATACTAAAATTTATATTATTTCAAATGATTAAAAACATGTTTTTCATTGATATCATGAATTGATTGATGTTAGAATACCATCGAAAACTTGGAAGCACTAAATAGTCGTTCAATTTCATGGATTAGTTGCGGTTAGACATTAAAACCGTTAAATGCTGGCTTAGTGGTCTAGAGGTTATGCGTTCTCGCGCAAGACCGAATGTCTTGGATTCGAATCCCGTGAGCGAGATCGTGGATGCGCACTATTGAGGAGACCCGAACTAGAACGAAACTGCAGTCCAGTGCTTCCCAGGTTCTGAATGATGGTCTAACATCAATCAATTCAGGATTTCAATGAAAAATTCGACAATCTTCATAAACTCGTACTGATAAAAACATGTTTCCTGATCACATTTTATACTTTGTGATCTTCTATAATAATATTCGTGTTAATCTAGATGAATACAATTCGATCATTTGTAACAAGCTATTCAGTAAGATGTTCGTAAATAATATAACGACTGGTTAGTAAACTTTAATCATCTTTCTAGATCGTTAACTAGCCCAGTAATATTGTGGTGTGTGCTACTGATGTCGGCAGATATAAGTAGTATTTATCATCAATCGAAAGTGAAATGTCTAGTGGTAGAAAATTAAGAAGATTGAAAAGAAGTGAAGAAGAAAAGAGAATGGTTGATGTGAAGACGAAGAAGCATTCAAGTTTGAGACAGTTGATTGACATTTTTCTAATGAAGCATTTTCTGTATGGTTCTCAGATTTTACTAAAAGATTCTGTAAATTTGTATTTAACTACATTTGATTGTACCCACTGATTTTCTCGTTCATTGCAATATGAGTTCAATTTTTTGGAGGGAGTATGAAATCACACAAATGTTTAATTATATTCATTGTCAGGGTATTTTTTCTAATAAAAAAATTTCCTCATCTAATTATCTGTGAATATTGATGCCCATCTCAGAAAAATCAACCAGAAGGTGAATTAATTAATATTCTGCAAAATGTTTTCAATTGTTAGAAAATAACTTAGTTGGTTTATTTATGTTACCTTTTGTCAGAGTAATATAAATCGCTGGAACATAAAAAGAAGACACATTTTACAATCCTTCCATGTATTTCAATTTGTGCTAAATACAGAGATATGTGAATTTTGCTTACATTATCTTATATCACAAACTACTTGACTATTTCAGTTTAAACTAAGACATTATGTTAATTAGTAGTATCATTATTTTCGTATGGAGTAAGACAGAATGTTTAATTTGAAAATCTACTTGTTTATTTTATGACTATCTATTATAACTATCAGATATGCTATGACTTACCATAGAGTTAATAAATATTTCAGTAACATAAATTACACATATTGACAGATATTCTCAAAGTGTACTTAAAGTTACTTAAGATTAAATTATTCTATTATATATTGTCAGTACAAACATGATAGTAGTCAGCCATGTGAAATGTACAAATCAAATTTCCTTAGGATTATTTAATTTTAGTTTTATTCAGTTCTACATACATTATAAATCATTATAAGAGACAGTCAGTAATACAGGAGCATAAAATAATTTGGCGAACTATAGACTGATCAATATAGCTTATACTGCATAAAACACATTTGTAGGGTAGTAAACGAAATAGCCCAGCCTGAAGCGTTAGGGCTTAAATAACGCTTAAAACTCATTGTCTGGTGTCGGAATACTATTACTAGAATAGTATAAGCTATATTCCTATGTAGAGACTGGAGGTTTGCCGTTGATATTGTGGATGGCTCGACATTACTTTGGCAAGTTTTGCTGACTGTCCATGAACAAAACTGGTTTGCTGGTTAACTGATTTTATTCATACTGGTGGTTGCTTTCCAGTGTTCTCAAGGGCCATTGTCATTGGGAAATTGTAAAGCATGTCGCCATTGCTAACATCAATCAGTTTGACTGTCGTGCAAGCGGAATAGATCAACTTTGACCTGTTCGTGCTTTGTATAATTGTTTCGCGCGATCATTGATCGGAATAACCACACATGTGACGTGAATGAATATGAATGGTGCGAATGGCCCAACAGAGTGCTTGGTACCTGTGTGTTTGCGCCACAGGATTGAGCTGTACTATTCAGATTGTAGCGTTAAAGCATACATGGTATCTGGTTCTCCTGTGAAGCGGGATTGAGATGTATTGCTCGGGGTATAACGGTTTAAGCCTGGGCGGTGTCTGGTTCTCCTGAAAACCAATGTAAAATTACCCTGACTCACAAGGGTATATTATATATAACTATAGACTGATCAAAATAACACAAACATACTTTTTCGACAGTCAGGTCTTTGTTTTACTGAGTAAATTAAATAGTCTGATACATATTACATTTTAGTTTAATTTTATTATCAAAAATATTTTTTCGGTTTTCATACAAATAAAACATGTTTATCACAATTATGTGACATTACTTAATGAGTTCAATTCTAAGTCACTGACTTAGTGCATGAATCATATATTATGAATTTCTTTCAGAAAATTTATGTCAACTTGACAATAATTCGAGCTAAAGTCTAAATTTGAACAATAAATTATAACATACGTGTGAACGTTTAACTCGTTTTTTAGCTACCAGCCTTTTACGACTTTCTCCTCGTAGATATGGATTTATCAAGAAAATCTATAATTTTGCAAAGAAGAAATTAGATTATAAAAATTAAATAGGGTATAATCAATATATGTTGAAATGTTAAGTGGTTGAATGTATTCAACAGAAAGCCCTGGATCTAAGTTTCTTTGTGGTTGCCACTCGTCATTAAAATGTAACTGAAATCTTGCGGGAACTAGCTTGTTTGACTTTATGTCACCTAACTTCACAGTCTGCGACTCAACCATCTTGATATTCGGGCAACTACTGACCTTCAGAAGGACTGAAATATTTACGTGTAACTTAGGTCCAGGGTTTCCAGTCGACTACTTCTAACCACCCAACATCTCAGCATAGTACGTGCGGTATCAAGTCACTTTAAGTTAGTGGTCACATTGGGATTTGATGGATGGAAATCTATCAACACTAAAAGGACTAGATAAAAAAGACATAGATCACTACTCAGCAATCCATTACTAATAAGCAATGAATATGTGTTTATGAGTTTGAATTCAACCGTAAGTCAGAATATGAGTTGATAACATTTCGATGTTAGAAGTGATTGCAAACTCTAGCTTCTGACTTTAATAGAAGTATCAAGACGATGAAGTACTTTAATTTCATAATCGTAAAATCTATCAGTGTATAAGCGTGGATTTTTTTAATGAACAATAATATCTGAATTATATATGACTTACACATAACTTAAATATCAATTCAGTTTTATATGTAAAAAAAACTATGCCAACAAATTAACGTTTTTATCCGTTTATTCTTTGAATTAAACATAACTGAATAGTTTGGATAAAGTGATTTTTGTGATTATTTTAACCGAAAAATAGTCTTCGTCATGGTTGAATCTCAGTATAATACCAGTGATGACCAGTGAGTATCAGGAGAATGTTTTACCTCAGTATGGGACCCTGAGCAGTAAGAATTCACGAACCTAATAAGAACCGAAATCATTATCAGTAGTTTATATGAGCCAATTCTCCAATGCAATGTTTTAAAAAGCTAATATGGTTTTTTGGAATTAAAACATTTGTTTTAAGACAATTTATGCAATCTAACGACTTACTTTTCCATCAGTCTTTTGTCCAGACATAAAATTAGTTTTATGTCCATTTTCATTTGATTCAACTGGACAGTTATCCATATGTTCATTATCACATGAACATTCACCATTTTGCATTTTTCTTATTATCCAATGTCGATTAAATTCAATAGTATCTTCAATATCTTGATCACACGGTGTTGGTAAATCATTTGATTTATAATTTAATGGACATGGATTTGGTGGATCACAATAAGCAGGTAAATTATCAAATTTAGATTCTATATGAGATGATTCCAGTTCACTAGATAGATTTAAATTATTAGCTGTTGTATCTTGTGCTTCAGCTCCCAATAAAGCATAATCTATCCATTGACCTGTTTCACTGGAACCTCCAGAAACTTTATGTTCACCCCATAGAGAATTTTGATAAGCAATTTCATTTCGACGTTCTGTTAAACTTGGTTCATTTAGAACTTCATTAATATTATTTCTATTTGGATTTAATTCATAATTATCATTGATTTTTCATTAAAATTTGAATAAATAAATTTTGGTTTATCAATATTATTTTCTTCTAGTTTGCCTAATTTAGCTTGATTGATTTCGTTTAATAACGCATTCCATTGTTTATCAGTAATTTCATAATTTTCTGGATAATCTTCTTGAAAAATTGGATGCTCGATTGAATATAAACGTTCTAATGTTGATTCTAAACTAGGATTCTGTTTTATATAATCATCATATAATAATTTTCCATCATTTATCAATCTATCTATGTACTGATCATAATTGCTAGCCAGTATTAGACCGCACAAATTCGTTAGGAAAAGTAACAAGAAGAATATGATAAGCTATAATTAAAAGAAAAGAAATAATTATGAATATTAAGTAAAGTATTCTTCTGAAGATGTTATTAGATTTTCAATAGAGTAATCATCATAAACTAATGCCAGAAAAGGAAATAAAAATGAAACTAACAAAACCTTGATTTAATCTAATATAGAATTGTGGATACATTGAACTGAAACGTTCTAAATTAAGATGAATCAATTGACTAGTTCTCTTTAGTATTCAACGGTTTTGTAGCTGAGATCAGCTAGTGATAAAAATTATATTCAATCTTAGTAATGTAATACTTTGAAGAAAAAAAAGGATATAACTTACCTTTTTTAAGTTCATTTGAAAAGATATTACTACATAACACTACATATTTTCATTATTGTAATGAATTTCAATTAAACTTATAATAATAAGTCAACTTTCTGATCGATTATTTTAACTCATAGATGAAAACGGGTTAGAAAGATAGATTATCTATTTAGTTCACACGTGATATGTTTCAATCTCTTTTATTATATTCTCTTCTCATTCTACTAAATTTTAATATCAATGAACCAATAGGGAAATATTAAAAAATGGGCTAGTTTATATTTGGTCAAATTGAAAGAGAGTAAATTTCCGTAGGAGGAGAATTGGACGACCTTGAGGAAAATAAAAATAAGGTAGGAAAAAAATTGATAACTCATAAAAAATTACCAACATTTATGAGTTTTTTAAATAGTTATTTAATACATAACTAAACTGCTTATTAACATTATTATCACTGGGATTCAGTCATCATAACGATAATGACCTAGTGATGCTCAGATATAAATACTTACTTACGCCTGTTACTCCTAATGGAGCATAGGCCGCTGATCAGCATTCTCCAGCCCACTCTGTCCTGGACCTTCCTTTCAAGTTCCATTCAATTGTTGTTCATTCTTCTTATGTCTGTCTCCGTTTCTCGGCGTAGTGTGTTCTTTGATCTTCCTCTTCTCCTTTGGACTTCAGGATTCCAAGGGGGCCTTGCCTTGTGATGCAGTTGGGTGCTTTCCTCAATGTGTATGCTATCCACTTCCAGCGCTTCTTCATGATTTCTTCCTCCACTGGGATCTGGTTTGTTCTCTCCCACAGTAGGTTGTTGTTGATAGTGTCTGGCCAACGAATCCGAAGTATTTTGACAGCTGTTGATAAACACTTGTATCTTCTGGTTGACAGCTTTCGTAGTTCTCTAAGTTACTCCCCCATACAGTAAAACTGTCTTGACATTTGTATTGAAAATTATTGTTGATAAATTATCTATACGTATATGTTGATATATAAGTAATAAATATTTTATTGAATGTAGTGCATTAATGTTTGGCTGAAAATTAAGAAAATATAAAGACTGAAAGACATATATTTACTATGAGAGAGGACATACTTATTTTTAGAAGATTGAGAAAATGTTCAGCATTAAATGATCTTTAATAGTTGAAGGATAGATAGTTTACTCCATTGCGAATGACTTTCCTGTAGTTACGTATATGTTTTCTTATGTAAGATAAGTAAACAAACATTTTATGATGTATATACACATTCATGATATTTCGTATAACTAGTTTTTTGTCATAGATGTAATTGGTTAAAAGACCACTAACTGAAAATAAACTGCTACTCAGCTCTTCTAAGTATGATAGTTATGCTTTAGGCTGGTGTTAATTCATCACAAAAGTGATCTTTAAAGCAATGCAACACTTTCAATAAATACCCCACTAAAGGAAAATATGTCTAAATTGTCATAATGTGTATAAAATGCTGCTGAAATTAGAATACATCAATTATATGCTTTGACAAAATACGTGAACAAAGAACCATTTATTTTATATTTCATTTATTGTATAATCTGTACATTCGAGAATTTCTAGAAAATACCAAATGATTATTGCTAATCAATGTTCCTGACTACCAGATCATATGTACTATTTACAAAACATTATATAATGCCGTTTTAATTCTTCTTGGTTGAAGATTTTTTCTAAAATTCTTTGAAGAATTTAGAAACAATGCCCACTGAACTCAGATCGTTTGAAATATCATTGTATACCAAGATATATTAAAGAGATATTTACCCTACATTTTGAACTCTTTAAAGATAAATACCGATGACCCTACGTGTGATTGGGACAATGAGCTTTGTAATGAGATGAGAACCACCGAATCTTTACCTATTTATTTTCAAATTTTCAGAGATGAGAAAGACGACTATCAACAAATTATGCAAAATTTGAAGTGAATAAACTTCTCTCTAGATGAAAAAACCTTGTTAATAAATTATTCTACATGACAAACTAACTCACTTATAGGTTAAAAATCATTTTATTCATTATATGAATCATGTTCACTTTTTACTAGTTTTTACAGGCATTTCCCTCAAATCAAAAAACCTACCAGTCATATTTTTTTATGATACTAACCATTTACTTGAAGATTTCGTGTGTTACGCTACAGTGATAAAACTGGTTCCATTGGCTAAGCTTTTCGATAAATTCTGTGATAAATTTAAAATATATCAAATGATTGTCTAAATTAAAGTGATTCTATGCAGCTGGATGCTGAGAAGACGTTTTGGTCCTCGTGTCGCAACTGGGGATGGATTAAGAGGACTAAACTTACGATAAACAACTAACTTTAGGTAGGAATCTGAATAATTCTGATCAAAAGATGCAATAATAAGGTAACAGTATGCTTTGCAATGTTATACTGTTCTGATAAGTGCTGTAAAACATAGATATTTGCATCATCATTTAAGTCGACTATTGAGTGAATGTATTCAAGCTCAGGTAAAAAGCTTCTTTTGGTTATAAACGAAAAACAGACAGTCACAAAATCAAGGAAGTTCATTGAGTTATCTAGCAAAGGTATTTGATAGATATATTAACTGATTACACACACTGTTGGCTATGAGTAAAATAGAGAAATTGTTCATACAAAATTTTAGAGATTAATTCCATTTCATTCTATTTGATAAATCCACGTTCATATACCTCTAGATTAAAATAAGATAATTTTCACTTAACTTGGTAACTAATTTCTATTTTTAATAGTTGAATTCATGAGTTAATCTGAGCTAGACCACCATTGAAAACCTGGAAGCACTGGACAGACGTTTCGTCCCAATATGGGACACCTCAGCAGTACATATCCACGATCCTGCATACGGCATTAAACAATTAATTCATTTGCGTAAACCTTATTCAATTATTGATAAATGATACAAAATAATCTCAAAAAATGGAATCTTCTGTATAAAAAGCACTTTATGATTATCACATGTTTTTTCTCCTAATTTTAAAATAATTCTTGTACTACTTATAGTAGCTTGAGTAAATGATTAAACTTTTATAATTGCTTATTATTTATGTATACATAACTTCAATACAGTGTATTAGTCTATCGGATATCTGGGTTCTATAGAAATTGTAAAATATCCATAGAAGTTGAATAATAAAGACATTTTAATGAAAATGACTAAACATATTTTAGTTCAAAAGCTTCCTATGAAAGACCAAAAGGTTTTTTAATTGTATAAATCGATTTCAGCGGGTACTGAAATTTCCTTGTTTTAATCAACATTCATTAGTTTTAATCAAGTTTGTTTTGCGTTTTTAACAATCGTCATTAAATAGTTATGAATAAATATTGTGAAATTATTGAATAAACTTATGAATGTTGCAAAGAAGACATACATTTCTTTCATATACTTTTCCGATTAGTATGAAATAGGAAAACAACTAACAAGCATGAACTGTACAGAATAGTTACAATAATAATTATGATGGAAAGTTTCTGAAGCATTTGCAATGACTTTTAAAAGCAAATATCTTTCAAATCTATCATTAACTTTACCGATAAAATGATATTTAACATCCTCCAAAAAGTATGTTGAAATTTAATATCAATGTTTTGACACTTGACAAATATGTGTATTGCAAGGAGCTAAGTAAATTGTTGAACTGGCAGGTTTACATCAGGGACTGGTTATATTTAAAAGGTGTAGCAAACGAGGATGAACTAGACTGTCATTTCATCCTAACAGTAGACCACGCCTGTGTTGTACATTCACGACCTTGCTATCGACGTCTGAGCGGGGCCAATTCAAGATAAACAACTGTTCATTGCTTCGTGGTATCTAATGATTTTACAACTGAAATTGGTCGACAATATAAAACTACAAATATGAAAAAAATATGATAGTGTTGTTCTCGTGACTTACCCTCAAGTAGCTACAATCGTCATGAATTCATCATCCAAACGATATATATATAGCGTCTTTACTTATGCAGTTATTATTCACCATTGTTATTGGTTATAATCTCAATCCCTCCAATTTTTTATTGAAAAATAGATCTTCCACAGATCATTATTGCATATTATTTGTGACATTTACTAAGTTTAACTCCAATAAGTGACATTTAGTTATTTCTAATCACCACAAAATATCTTCGTGTTGTAGTACATTTACTTAAATATTTGATAAAAACGCCTTTAAGGTTTTTTATCATTGTCAATAGATGTATGGAAAGTATCATTTACGATAATAACTTGTTTGTGATGCACAGTCGATAGCATGTACATACAAATACATAATTTGTTTTAATATCACTTTTGCTTAACATTGTATTTGAACGTCATATGATGATAAAACTGGATACATTAATTTGACAGCTTGTTTGTTGTGGAAGACTGATTCGGCGTTTAAAGCTGCTTGCAAATATTTTCTAACTGTTAAGGATTGTGAAAAGTTTGAAATCATTCTCGTTTATCCAACTGAATTATTCAGTATTGTAGCCGTCATATGTCAAGTAACAGTGTGAATTTAATTGGGATAATAGCTATTGTCCAAACAAATGAGTAATTTTAGCTATGCATTTTCGTTAATTAACTTTGTCAACTGTTATATCAAACGTTTCAGGTTATAACTGTACACAGGACAGAGATTTCTACGTTACCAGTATAACTTTATTGTAAGCATAAAAACATATGGAACTAAAGCTTGAAACATCTTAAAAACAACCAACCTTTCTATAACAACGAAAGCAACCCAGCCCTTCATCGATTAATAATAAAAGTAAATAAATAAAAATAAATCATATATGTACAAGGATACAATCCCAGTTAGCTATTGAACAGTCTACCTGTTCTTCTAAAGCAGGTTATTTAGATCTCACAGAACGTGATCTTTCTAGGAATATTCCCCAGCATTACACTGCCACTCAGTGAAAAGAAGGATGCATTTTATTGGACTCCCTTCAATTATGACCATATATCTTCACCGAAATTATCCCCCAAAACTCTATAAAAGCCCGAAAGAATAA